ATTTTATTTTGATTATTTTTCTTTTAGATTCTGTTTTCCTTTTGGGTTTTAAATTATTTCAGTTTAGTAAAACATAAAATCCAACTTCTAAATAGTGTCATAATCTAGTCCTATGCCACAAAAGTTCCAACCCAAATAAAATAGTTCAATATATTTTTTAATTATAAAAGGCATTTATTTAATCTTTTAACTACTGTTTTTATTATTTTAGTGCATTTAAACATTTTATAAAGATGCGGATTCTCCACCATAATTACTTACGATTTATTTGACAGCTTTCAAACATTATAGTTTTAATTTTTGAAAACTTTTGTTGTTTGCCTATATTTAAATTTGAATTCGAACCGTTTTGAACTAACACAAGTTTATCAACATTAACCGAGGTGACGTGACATTATTTGCAAAGGTTTATTGTAGCTTAATTATCCGGGCGTCACAGTTGTGATGTTGTTGGTTCTTGGACTGATGCTTTTGTTAATGAAATCAGAGGGGAGAGCCCTCTTTTGCTCATAAAAAGACATGTGCTGCAAGTGATCGGCTATCTAGTGATTTTTGTAAGGTTTGGTTACACGATCCACTTGATTGTATTTTGCACATTGTTTCGGCAGAATTGTCGCGTTTTATGAATAAATAGGAGATGGTTGAACTTAAGAAAAAAACAGCAGATGGCCGACTAAGCAAGCTATTGGCCCGTTCTACACTTTGTTCCCCCTCGGGCATTGAATATATCTTGTGTTTCCTTAGAGTTATGCCATGTCAACCATATATGAATCACAACGTGCAAATTAGTTCTCCCAAGATATTTATAAGAACCCATAGCTAAGGCAAGCGCTGCATGAACATGTCTTCCAAAGCTCTCTAGCTACTCACATTTTCATCAAGAAGTACCTGCGGGAGCTGGATGAGTGTAAGCCAAGGAAACCGATGAGGGTGGCCACGGGCACATGCTCAGCCGAGGGGATTCCACCACCTACTGGAACGGCAAAGATAAGGGTGGATGGAGCTGTCTCTCGAAATCAACCCGAATTATCATTCAGCACGGTCTACATAGACTCAAACGGCACCTATCTGGGTTCCTCAACGATAAAGTGTAGGGGAATATCGGATCCGGCGAGCCTGGATGCTTTGGCTTGCTGCGAGGCACTTGCATTGGCAACAGACCTATCAATATCGAATGTTGTTGTTGCCTCAGACTGCCAAGGAATGGTACATGCTATTAAACATCAAACAGGGGGTGTCTATGCGAGCATCATCAAGGAGATCATAGAGACGTCAAAGAATTTCAATCAATGTTCCCTCATCTTCGAAGGAAGAGAGTCCAATCTCGAGGTACACAGCCTCACTAAGCATGCTTTTGGTCTGAATATCGGGTGCCATATATGTGTGGCTTCTAAACCCTCCAGATTTACAATGTATCCCCATGAACATTATTAATCAATAAAGCAAGCATGTTTAGTTAAAAAATATATTTTATAAGATCCCTTAGGTTCAACAACAATTTAGGCTGATTGATCCTAGAGGAGTGCTTCACAAGATATACTGATTGATATTGAGGATCTTCATCTAAAAATATTCTAAATTATATTCTCGAATTGAAGCCTTTGCTGAATAAGAATTGTTACGAGAGAACTGTTGTTATACTTTGCTCAGTTGGCAAGCGGCTCATCAACGGGCAAAAAGAGAGACCAAGGTTCAAGTGAATGACAAACAGGATTATTACGGAGGTAATCTTCACTCTAATATTAACTCATTCCCTATTATCTATTCAAACTCTCACCTCCTCTATTTTATTTGTGTGTGGTTATATTCGCTTAATTTACCGGCACATACTGATCACACCACTCAAAATCAGATCCATACTCCAGGTATCGAATCTGATAATCGGATACATAAATTCCAGAAAAGAATTTTGGATTTTAATAAAATGCTTACTCGGCGCGTCCGTGCGTTCTAGTCAAATAGCACAGTTTTATCTTGATCTCTACTTATAGCGAAGAATGTAAAGAACAGTAATGTTACATGTGCAAATGAAATGTCACTTATGAAGTTATGATCAAAATTAGCTGCAATTTTTCCTTTTTAGATAATGGAGCTTCCCATAATGCAAAACACAATTCAGCACTCGTTACTATTTGCTCAACAGAATATCAAAGGTCCAGCTAGCACACCAAGTCTGAACAGGAGAGGATGAAAGTTAAAACTGACAATAAAATGCACAGGCAGCACTCTGCACCACAAGCACAAAGTAATCTGCATGTGACAGCAGATAATCCTCTTAATCTGATGAAGCGGGGCACCCCTTGAAACATTTGTTCCTTGCCTTGAAGCTGCACAATGATCAATGCCGTATCCAATGTGTAGGTACTTAATTAACTTGCAAGTTCATGAAATCTTGCACGCATGCAGAACTTAGGTTCATGTAGATCTTACTAGGCCCAACTCATGGAAATTGACCCAAAGACAAGTGACACAACTATTGATCCCAAAAAGGGTCAGCAATTTTTTATAGAACTCCTCCCAGTTTAGCTCGCTCAATCCTACTGTTTGCCAAGTTGCGCGTGAAGAATTCTGGCCAATCCATCTCAAAAGGGATAGCCATGACGACAATGCCGTGAAACCAGTTGGTGACCGCCTCCATTGCCCCTGTTTGGAGATCTACAATGTACATGTCTTCTTGATTGTCCTTGACGAGCAGTATGCCGCTCGTCTGACCCACACACACACACTGCACCTGGTCGATCTTGCCATGCTCGGGTCGTTGTAAATTGATCATCTTGGTGCGATGCCAGCACCCTGTGTTGCTGTCGCTTTCTCGACTCATGTTGTGGCTCGGGCGTGTCCAGATCTCCAGCATGATGCATTTCCCATCCAAGCGAAGCAAGCATGGCGTTCCATCATTGGTGACTCCAAGCAGTGGCTGCGTTTGGTCCGGTGTGACTGGGAGCCTTGTTAAGGACATCTCTGTGGTCCTAGCACACACACTGAGTGCGTACAAGTTGGACGCATTCTTGAAGAGCCAATGTGCAATGCCGTGGCACACGACCGCGGTGGTCTGCTGAGACACGACACGGGTGTCGTCGTCCTCCAAAGAGTCATAGCACTCCCTGGGCGTGCCCCAGCTCGAGCTCGACTCCGTGGAAGTGAACACGTGGAGATTGTGCCGTGGCTCATCTCGGTCGCCGCCGATGATTAGCACTTTGAAGAAGGACGACGCCGTTTCGTCCGGGCAACAATCCGCATGGGTTAAAAGGGCGCATCCTTCTATTCGGAAAGGTCTGTCGCTCTTCAACTCAGGCAGGTCACGGCCTCTGCCGGCGATTGGATCGTACAATGCCAGGTTCATGATCTTCTCGTAACCATTGGTGGGTTCGTTTAGTGGGACGAAGCGCACAACAAGAAGTCCACGGCGCGAGGTGAGCACTGCTGCCTGGCTGTCAGGAGGCCAAGGAACGGTGAGGAAGCTGTAGCGTTCTCCGATGGAGCACCATGGCACCGGGGTGAAGGGCGGCATGGGCGCAGCCGTAGAGTCCCCTTCTGTTGGTTCTTCACGGGGCTGTTGCACGACGAAGAGGCCGAGCAGGGAGGACAGGTGGCTCACACCCTCCGGCCAGCGGCGGCGGAGGAAAGACGGCTCGGCGATGAGGAGGCGGCATCGCCTGCACGTCGCGGCACAGCGGAAGAGGTCTGCCACATCCGTCACGCGCACCAGGATCTCCACCACCACGTCGTCCGGCAGCGTCTCCATTGATCCTTCTCCACTAGGGCTGGCGCGCGGTGTACTTGCGAGCGATCGACGTGCGATCGTGCGTTTGTTCTCCATTGGGTCTTGATCTTTCCAGAGATTTGATCCTTCCCCCCGTATTCTTTTCCATGAGCTAATCCCGGACTTCTGGTACAACTCTTTTTTTTTTTGACATCATTCTGGTACAACTCTTTTTCTCGACGTGTGATACCCTGGTCTAAAGTTTTTTTTTTGCGGGGTAAAGGGAGTTTTTATTGCAAGGTAATAGTGTTACAATCAAGAGGCCACAACTCCTCAATACAAGGTGGAGCCGACTGTAATCACACAGCTGTGGTTCTCTCTGATCGGCTATAAGTGGTCAAACAATCTGCGACACAATTCTGACTACGGTGAATTTTCTGTGGTAAAAACTCCCTACTGCTCATCGGCTCCTTAATCTCAAGCACCAACTGCCCATAAGCTGACTTCACCAGGCCATTGTTAGACAAGATTGATAGTGCTTCAGCGGAATCTGGCTGAACGACCACCGGAAGTGACGTATTCTGTATAGCCAGCGCCATGCCCTGCATGAGGGCGTGTATTTCCGCTTCCAGCGAGTCGTTGCAATGAAAGATATAGCGATATGCTGAAAAAATGATCTTGCCTTTCTCGTCACGTAGAATCATGCCAGCAGCCGCTGATCCATCGGAGGCCAAAAAAGACCCGTCGACGGACAAAGCTACGTAGCCCGGCTGGGGTGCTGGCCATGGCATGGTCGGGGGCTTCGCTTTGACTAACAAGCCTGTGCACTCGGCAGACACTGTCATCTTCCCTTTCATTACTTCCTCCGTGCTATACTGGCCTGCAAGTTTGATAGACCTGTAGTAGCTGTCGAGGAACTCCACCGTGACCTCCGTAGGTGGGATTTCCTTGCCATGTGATTGATCTGTCCGCAGTTGCCAGATTCGTCAGACTACCATAATCACCATATCCTGGACCTCATCCGTACAGTTAGCCAGCACATGCAGCAACCAATCCTTGCCATTGTCAATGAAAATTTCATCAGAGGGCAGAGGCCACCTAGTTCTCATATTCAGCCAAATCATACGCGCATTATTGCATGTGACTAACGCATGAAAAGACCCCTCCTCTTCCACTCCACATAAGGGACAAGTCGACCGCGTGGATATATGCCCGAGTTTTTTACATTGCGCTGTTGGCAAGGCACCTGCAACTACCTTCCAAGCCATGATCTTCATCTTCTGAGGTACCGACGATTTCCATACAACATTCCAAATTGATCTCGCACCACTTGGTGCTGAACAGGACGCTCTCCCCGCAAACGTTATGTTATGATCAACTGTGGCAAGTCTATAAGCATTCCTGACCGAGAATTGGCCGTTCTTCTCTGGGAACCACGATACGAAATCTGAACGCTGCCTTGGGGATGTCCTTATTTTCACAATATAATCGATGCCCATGGGCAACGTTGTCATCTAGGAACTCTGACACACGGTTAAGCCGGGATGTGCATTTAGGAGTGATATGGCGGAATGAGGTAGCTCTTGGAATCCAAGGGTCACGCCAAGTACGGATGAGTGCCCCATCCCCCACTCGCCAAATAACCCCCTTCTTCAGAAGTTCCAGCCCGTACAAAATCCCTTTCCACACTGCAGATCCATTGTTAGAGAACACCGAGTCCAGTAAATTACCAGCCGGGAAGTATTTCGTCTTTAGAAGCCTAGCACATAAACTATCTGGCATATCTAGAAGGCGCCATGCTTGTTTTGCGAGTAGGGCTTGGTTAAAAGCCCGCATATCCCTGAAGCCCATGCCTCCCATAGATTTGGGTAGATGCATTTTGTCCCAACTCTGCCATGCCATCTTACGCTTCCCCTTTTCAACTCCCCACCAGTACTGACGCATCATGCGGGTTAACTCATCACAAATCGATGCTGGGAGTTTGAAAACACTCATGACATAAGCTGGAATAGCTTGAGCAATTGATTTAATTAAAATCTCCTTGTTACCTGATGACATATATTGCTCACTCCAGTCGATTAACCTCTTCCTCAATCTTTCCTGGATAGTTTCAAAATTACCCTTATGCATTCTTCCCTCCGGCACAGGGAGGCCTAGATACTTAGGCTCGAAGACCTTCTGTGTAATTTCCAGAACACCCTTAATATTGGTAGCAACTGTGGGCGAGCAATGATCTGAAAAAAGGATGGAGCACTTTGAAGGATTTATTAATTGGCCAGTAGCCACCGCATAAGTGTTCAACAAACCTTTAACCAAATTTGCCTGCTGTTCAGAAGCTTGAAAAAACAAGAGTGAATCATCCGCGAATAAAAGATGGGATATTTCCGGAGCACCTCTACAAATATTCACCCCTTTCAAACCATCCTCTTCCATAGATTTATTGATCAACCTTGATAGAGCATCCGCCACAAAAAGGAAAAGAAAGGGGGATAACGGATCACCTTGCCGGAGACCCCGGGACGGGGTAAAAGAATCCAATAGCTTGCCATTGAACTTCACCGAGTATTTAACAGATGATACACACGCCATAACACGAGAGATCCAGAACTGGGAAAAAGCCCATTTCAGAAGAGCCCTCTCAAGAAAGTCCCAATCAACTCGGTCATATGCCTTCGAAAGGTCAAGCTTGTAAGCACACAAAGCCGGTGAATTTTCCTTAACAGATTGTATATGATGGATACATTCTAAGGAAATAATCGAGTTATCCGTAATAAGCCTGCCCGGAATGAACGCACTTTGATTTTCCGAAATTAGCTCTGCTAAGAAAGGTCGCAACCTGTTCACCATGCACTTAGACACGATTTTATATACTACATTGCATAGACTGATAGGGCGGAAGTCCTTTTGTTCACGAGGATGTGGAATTTTTGGTATATACCACGGCCGTATCATTGACACCATCTGGCATTATACCTGTGACAAAGAACTCCTTAACAGCCGCAATGATCTCTGCTTTAAGAACATCCCAGTTACGCTGATAGAAACGCGCCGGGAATCCATCCACCCCCTGGAGCCTTTAACGGCCCTATTTGGAAGAGTGCGTCCGAAATCTCTTTGTCTACAAAAGGCGAACTGAGAGCATCATTCATATTTGCCGTCACCCTTTGCTGGATACAATCCAGAACCACCGCTGGATACAAGGTAGGGTCCTTGGTATATACTTCCTTGAAATATGACTGCGCCATCTTCTCCATCTCTGAGGGTACAGAGCACCAAGATCCATCCATCTTTTTAAGGCGCTGAATATGGTTCCTTCTCGCCCTCCAGATTGCTCTACGGTGCAAATATTTCGTGTTGCGTTCACCCTCCTTTAGCCACGTAATACATGATCGCTGCAGCCACATCATTTCTTCTCTGTATAGGAGTTCATCTAACTGATTCATCTTGTTCCGGACCTGGGACCGATCAGCTCCAGTTAACTGTAGTGCAGCTAGTTGGCTCCTTGGCTCTTCTATTTCTTTCAATACGTTACCAAAGTTCTCCCTACTCCATTGTTTCAAATCATTCATAACATGTTGCAAAGATGCAGCCACTGAACCGAGCCCTCCACTCGGCTTACGCTTTACCCATGAGTTAGCAACCATGTCTGGAAGGCCTTGGTGGCCTCCCACATGATTTCGTACCGTGGTGCGTTACCTTTCGTTCGACATGCTTCAACATCCCCCAACTGGACCAGTAGGGGTGCGTGATCTGAACAGGGCGTTGGGAGATGCAGCACCCTCGTTGCTGGAAATAGGTCCTTCCATGTTTCATCCGCATAAGCACGGTCCAATCTGACTTGCACATTGCGATCACCGTGTTGCCCATTATTATATGTATAAGGCACACCTGCAAATCCCAAATCCACGAGCTCACAAAGCAGTAGGCAATCCCTAAACGCTAACATCTGCGTCTCCGACCGCAGGGATCTCGAAAGATGCTCATGTTGCCACAAGGCTTCGTTATAATCTCCACAAACGAACCACGGTTCCTGCGAAACTGCTCTGAGCCGAACTAGGTGATCCCACATGGCTTGCCTGTTCTCAACTCTTGGTTCGCCATAGACAAACGTCCCTCTCCATGAGGTTCCTCCACCAACATCATCTATACGGACATCGATATAACGACAGCATGCATCAAGAACTGTCACAGACAGTGACTCATCCCAGAAGAGAGCCAAGCCTCCACTTTTTCCATTACTACTAACTCCAAGAAAACCTTTTAAACCTAACCTCCACTTGAGCTTTTCCACTTTAGCTACATCATGTCTAGTCTCGCTTAAGAAGACTAGCTTGGGGTCATTGGCTTTGACGAGGGCCAACACCTCCCGAACTGTCCGGCGGTTCCCCACCCCTCGGCAGTTCCAAGCGAGGATATTCATTGCATCCGATGGTCCTCCGAGAGGGAGGCCGCCAATATCTCATGGTTTCCACTTTCCCTTCCCGTCTTCGCACGTTTTCTACTTGTGCTACTTGTGGGGGAGTCTCCTTCCTTCAGATCCTCCCCACACCCATCTGTGATTGCCAATAAGGTAGAGTGTTTGTTTGGATGGTCTAAGACGACATCATCATCCATATTTAATCTCTTCCTCGGATCCTTGTCAACCTCCATCCCCGCACCTGCAGGTTTTTTTGGGCTAGAAGCCGTATGTGCAAGGGCAGGGTCCAGTTCCTCTTGCCTCTCATTGTTCTTCCTCTCTGAGCCATGATGGGTTTCCTGCCTCGCACTAGGGCGAGTAGCCATATTTGTCCTTGATGGTTGACTCTCCA